GTCCTTCCTGTAGGACCACCATATATGGTCAACTTCCGTTTCGTGACTTCCTCTTTATATTTACCGTAACTATCCCACTTCCTCATCCCCCCTGACTTCCAGTAACCCCTACTCTCCCATTTTCCCCCTCGATTTATCGTAACCCTACCCTCCCTCTTACCCCCTCGAATTACTGTAAGCCATGACCACAACATCATGTTTTTGAGCAGATTTTCTATTGCAAAAGAGTTTGAGCTGACACAAAGTCTATTCTGTTGACCGCAACATCCTGTTTTGAGCAGATGTCCACAGCCCATCTGTCTGCTCACCCTCCCTCTCAGCAGTTCGTGACTTCCTGCCTCGCTGAAGCTGACAGGCGGTGAAAGTTGTCATCAAAAATTAACCACCATCCAATAAGCGGATAGGGTTAGGCTTTAGACCCACCCCTCAGCCAATCAGATCGTGTTTAAAGCATTAATTCCCGCCCCTCCTCGGTTCTCGAAGCGTTTWAAAGAATGCGTCTCATTCATTCCATACCACCATCGGCGAGAAGACACCTGCTGCGTTCCAGACCCGTCACTACTTTCATCACAGAGCGACAAGACCCCTGTGCGACCGCTGCGGCAGATGAAGTAAATTTTAAAGGTTCGTATTTATTTATTATTATTCAGTTTAATGTATTTATACTGGTTTTTTAATTGTACTCTATTTCAACAGCGTGAAGAACCGTCTCCGTGTTCCACCGGCGTTACACGGCACCACCGCCAGCATCCCAACGTAAATTAAAAGGTTTGTAAATGTGTTTTATTTTGTTTTATTATGTTTAATGTATATATAAATATATATTTAAATGTACTCTGTTTGTGTGTTCCAGCAGCAGCAGCCTTGCGCAGCAACAGAACAGTGAGAAGACCCGTCGCTGTGTTCCAGCAGCAGCGTTATGCAGCACCAAACTTAAAGTAAATTTAAAGTTTTGTAAATGTGTTTTATTTTGTCTAATTCCATTTAATGTATTTATATAGTTTTTTAAAAGTACTCTATCTGTGTGTTCCAGCAGCAGCAGCCTTGCGCAGCAACAGAATTAAAGGTTCGTAAATTTTTATCATGTTTATTCTGTTTAATGTATATATTTTAAAATGTACAGGATAGTTTTATTCAGAGTTATAATGTTTTTTAAATTATTATTTTTCTCTCTTTTTTTGTATTTCAGCAGCGAGCGAGCGGCAAGACCCCCGCTGCACCACGTCGACATCAGAAGCGGTGTTTTTTTCTTTGCATAAACTAAATAAACAGGTCAGTAAAAAATTATTTAGAGTTATAATGTTTTTATATTTAACATGTTGCGAATTGATTT